TGTATTGGATGTGCAGGTGTTGATAACTGGTAACTGATTCTGTCTAAATTTGGTGTGTGTAGCATGTATGGGCTTAAACTGGTGATAGGTGTGCATGAACCTAGACTGGTTATTTTGAATGTGTGTGTATCTGAGTTGCTAGTGTGAGTGTGTATGCCTAGTAGGGGTATATGCACCTAGTGAGTGTATGTGTACTTAACTGATTTTTATGTGTGAATGTGCAATTGTACACCATGCACTCCTGTCTAACAGCACAATATTGAGATCCTGAGCGTTGGCCTGACCTCTCAGGGCAACACCCTAGATGGTAAGAGCAGCTGTAGCTAGATTCTGGCTGTGCTGTACCACCAGTTCAATGAAGAGAGAATCTGACCCATTAAGTTTACCCAAGTAAACTTATTTCACAAGTTTACAATTCAATTGTATTTTTCTTTGTTCTATTTTCCATCATCCCCACAGATTGAGTCTGACCTTCTTTGCCCAGCACAGAGCTTCTCTGTTTACTCTGTTTAGCTCTCCATGATACGAAAATCACGAGCTTCTGGGCATTTGTATATGCCATGGGGGTTTACTTTGGTTTAATTCTCCCTAAATTGAAGCGGTGGGTCTTTAAAAGCACCACTTCAATTTAGAGCGAAGTAAACCCAAGAGTCGGGCCTGACCCTTACCTGCCTCTCCGGCAGGAGGGCAGGGAAGGTGAGCCGTCGGCAAGTGGAGCGGTCCCTGAGCTGCAGGGGGGGTGGGCTGGTGCTTCCCTCCATGGCAGCAGCAGTGCCTCTCAGGCAACACTAAACCACCTTGGAGATGTTTTATTTTGCTGCGGCCCAAAGTCATTTAACGCACATTATACCTCCAACACGTGCAAACAGCCTGCCATTAAAGCGGTGCAAAAGGGCATTAAGCTGCTTTAAAGGCCAATTTTGTGGTGTGTACAAAAATGTCCTTAGAAACCATAGCCAAAGTTGATATTCAGCAGTCAGACTTCACTACTGAGATCTGACAGTAGGAAAAGCCAGACATATTTTCATTAACTGGCTTTTATTTTCACTGAATTTTCATTTCATTAAGGAATTGTGAGAGTGATGCCATTTATGTTCACCTACTCCGGAAAAAACACCAGTGTTATTAGCTGTAGCTTTTTAACAGTTGAAGATGACTCCAGCTGGACCCTCTAAACATGCTATACTTAAAACTGACTGATCACAAAGTCTAGCATGACAAGTCTAGCAGTCTGGCATAAATTCAAACATGAACACTTGAGAAAGAAATATGCAGGCAGTGCACCTTCATTTATTATGAAAGTGCCCTGTGGGGAAAAAAAAGAAGGAGTTCATTAGAGAGGGTACCACTGCAGTGGCAGAAAAGACAAGGCAGAATGTTACAAATGCTCTGGAATGAACTCACCTGGAGTCCTTTCTGACTCTTGCTTTTTCAAAGGAAAACCTGGGTTGTTTACTCAGATCATACATCCTAGTTGTTGGCTCTGCAGAAACACCTTCCTTCGCACCTCTCCTCCTGTTAGCAGAAAACGCATCGGAAACAGTTTGGTTGAGCCTCTGGGCCATTTTAAATGGTGAAGAATGGAAGGAGTTCCCTCCTTGAGTGTTAACAACATCTTGTAGCTTGTTCAGCTGGATGCATTTGCTCTGGAGTTCCTCAGTGAGTTCTGCTATGGCTTTCGTTTGCGTAGCCAGCTGTTCCTGTAGCTCTGTGATATGATGTTCACTCTCACGTAGCTCTTCATCTTTTCTCTTCAGCTCCCTTTCAAGCTCCAGCACCTTGCTTCTAAGAACATCAGCTCTCCCTGACACATTGATGCCCAGGGCAGGGTCTTTCAGCAACTTCCCATTGCCAGAATAGCTAATGGAGAAGTTTGCTACATGTCTCTCTGGCCGCTTCAGATGCTTGTGTTTCATTGATCCATTTCCCATTTTGTCAAATGACCTGGCAATAATATAAATTGTGGATTTTAATTAACTCTGCAACCAGAAAAAAATATTAAGTATGCTCAGATGACAGGCAATAAGTTGAACATGTAACTGGTCACTGAAACTCAGATACCTTGCTATTTTGAACTGTGTAAGGAGTAGGAATTACATTTGAAACATTTCATCCTTTTTTATTATTATTATTCCTATAAGAAATGTGTATAGAGACAGTAGTTCAAATAAAAGGTCCATATTATCTGCTGCTCTTTGTGGACGATCTAAGGGTAGATGTTGGAAGATTCACAAATGAAATTGATATCAGTCTAGTAGGGATAAAATAAACAGTAACAGCAGACGTATGAACAGCTTTGACTTTCCTGTACTACTGAAGCAAAAAATAAAAAAGTGTGATTTTTTTTTTTAAAGAACAATCTGCTCTATCTGCATATTTAAGCAGTAGATAATCTAAATTCATACAGCACCTAACACAACAGTATCTTGTGTCCACAGCTTGGGCCCCTGTGCATAGCTATGGTACAAATAAATAAATTATGATAATGCATAATTATTGCATGCGCAGCTACTATGAGCTAGCTGATTCCAGTATAAATCAGGACCAACTCCAGCATCTGCTTGCTAGAGCTTCTCCAAAGGTATTAATGCTAAGAGCAAGCACTGGCACTGTACCTCCAAGTATCTTTCACTAATTTAAGATTAGTTCAGCTGTTTTAGGTTAACAGTAGCCACCTGAGAAAGTGTGGCCTGACCTATTTCATAGGGCATTGACCTTTGGTAACTCTTACCAATTTCTGGTGCCTGAGGCCAAGACAGAGTGGTCAGACTTATAACAAGAGTTCCTGTATGTCATGAACTTATTACAGCAAATATCACAGTAACTCAAGAGACTGAGAGGACTTCTTCCATCTTTCCCACCCTTAACCCTTTGCATGTTTCTCTCAGAATTGTAGGATGAGTAAGAATGTGATATTTGCTACTTGAGACGGATATAACTATAAACTCGTTCAATAGTTTTGTTTAGATGCTTCTCATTTCACAATTGGCCCAAACTTTAGTGAGAAAAGGAAGGAAAGAAAAATTCCAAGTTGATCTCTCATAGTGAATCTATAAGGGGAACTGAATCCTCAGGATGCAGTAAAAACATGAGCTTGCTCTTTGTTCGTTTAACTCATAAATTAAATCATGAACATTTGTTTGTATTCTGCATAGATCAAGAGATACATATATCAAATTATAGGGCTGTAAAATACAGTAATATAAGTCCTCAAAATGAAAGAGGTAGCTCTCATTGCCAGTGTAGCAGACACAATAATTATTATTCCCCTCCAACCCCCCACCCTTTTATTTGATTAGGATCACTTTGTATGAATTGTTTCTAGAACTTCTAAAAAAACATGGTGTAGATTTTAAAACTCATGAGTCAAAGGTAGTCAGATAAGAGAGTTAAGTCTGCCCACAGGTCAGGCCTGCCATACACAACAGCGTTGCAAGCTTCCCTGTACTGCTGTACCAAAATGCTTTTATTCTGAAGATCCACCCTTAACAAGAGAAGAGAGCCTATGGGTGCATCCTGGTGAGGGTGCACGTGTGGTTTGCAGCACCTCAAAGCAGTTTGGGGCACCACAAATCCCGGTGACAAAAAAAAAAAAATTGTGCTAAAAAATTTGCCACATGGTGCATGTAGCAGCAGCATGTGCTGTCAGAAAGGAAGCCTGACAGGGCAGAGTAATACACTGGCTGCCAGCCAGGCTCTGAGCAGCTGGCTCAGCACCACTGGTGCCCCAGGAGGTCCCTAAGACCCCAGGTAAGCCTGCTGGGGCCAGCACATGCTGGGCCCCAGCCTCCCCTACCCTACCCAGGTCACTTCGCCGCGCAATAGAGCACGCATGCAGGGGAATGCCTGGGGACAAATAGCAGCAGCAGAAATCTGTGCCGCTCCTATTTGTTCCACGGAAAATTCACACCCCTGCACATGTGTGCTCATTGACTCACTCCCTTTCAGGGCAAGACTGAAGTAGAGAGCCCTGCAGTAGTGCTTATGGCCCCAGCCTAGCTGCTGCCATGAGGCCCCCATGCATAGCTCAAACATGGTGGGACTTCAGTAGTTAGCAAAAACTTGTACTAGCCCTCCCTGTCAAGCGAAGTTTACCAACAATGAACAAAAGTTGCATCATACGAAAGTTATTACGAGTGAAGTTGTGCAGGTCATCTGAATCTGAAGGATCCAATGTTATAGTCTTAAGCAAGCCAATGGTAATGCTTAAACAAGGCAATGGTAATACTGAGTATGTCCCATAACAATGGGACATAGCAAATCAATGACAGTGGGAAAAGAGAGATAAGAAATGAGCCCTCAGACAAGAGCTAGCAATCAGGTCTGGCCTGAAGTGAAACCCAAGGAAAAAAAAAATTCAAAACAATGGAAAATCTGTTAACATTCTATGTATATTCTAATATGAAATTTTGCTTCACTGTTCAGTCACTTTTCTTCTTTAACAGGTTAGAATTTTTATCTGGATTATAGTTTTACAAATTATACAGCTGACACTCTGGGCAAGAGAGCTCACATTTAAGCTATTTGTTTGTTTCCTTTGTGGCTTATAATTTTTATCTGTCCAAATGTTTCCTTTCAGTTGTGTTATATGTTAATTCCTTTTGTCACCATTTCCCTTGACATTAACCTCATCACATTTAGATAACTCAGATACGTTAAGCAAATAGGCACCACACTAGTAAGAGACGTTTAGTGTCAAAAAGTCTTCCCAGTTGGTCTAATAAATGGTATCATTTTGGAACCAAGAGTTCTATTTTTTGTATGTCTACACTGTAGAAATAAAGTTGATCTATTCATACCTCTTAACAAAATTCTAAATTAACATTATCAACTCAGAAAAGAAGCTTGAGGTGTCAATGAAGATAGTTCAGCTGAAGACCTCTGCTTGAGGTAAAGCTGCAATTGAAAAAACAAACTACATGTTAGGATGCATATGGAATAGAGTGGAGAATAATATGGAAATATTGCAATGCTTTTATTTAAAAAAAAAAAAAAAAAAAAATCAGTGGTGCTCTCTCATCCAGATTGAACTCTGCATGAAGTACTGACCACCTCATCTCAAAAAGGATGCTGCAGGGGTTGGTGACATTTACAAAATGGCACTAGGGGCGAGGACATGGGAAATCTCTTACATAAAAAGAGAAGGTAGAATTGGATGCTTTACTTCACAAAGGGAATAAATTAGAAGAAGCAAGATAAAAGCACATAAAACAATGAATGTCCTAGAGTAGGCAGATTCAGTTCTGTTCTCCCAAACCCATAACACAAGAGCAAGAGGACTGCAGAGGAAAAAGACAGCAAATTAAAGAAAGAAAGAAGGAAAAACCTTTCCACCCAGTGCACAGTCCCACTGTGAAACTCATCACTACAGGAAGTTGTATGTCCCAGAAACCTAGTAGGAGTCAAAAGGCATTGGCATTTATGTGGATAAGCCGCAGTTAGAATAGTTAAAGCTAACACAACCTTGAAAACCTCATGCTTCATAGCTTCATCTGATCTTTAACAAATTGGGATTAGACTAAATCCTAAAGTGGGAGATAGATTATAATGCATCAGCATACTGCAGAGGTTTGCAGCCTCCTCTGAAGCACCTGTCACACAAACTCTTTCAAGTCCAGTATCTGAATCTGGTCCATCTTGGCAGTTCTTATGCTCCTCACAGACTGTTCTCCCCTGGACCAACTCACCCCTCAGCCAGGGCTCTCCCATTTCCTTCAGTGAGGTGAAAACAAACAAACCAGGAGGTTTGTCCCACCATGATTAAAACTCTAGTTTTATCACTGTAATACCACGTTAAAGCCACTCATGTCAACCCCAGAGACAGAGGCAGACCCAGACTGTACCTCCCTCTCCCAGGCACAAAAGCAGAGGGGCAATGGTGTGGAAGGCCTAGCAAACCTCTCCCTTGCACCTCCATGCAAGGAGCAGTTGCATTGTGGGTAGGGAACAGAGCTGTCCTTCCACTCTGCTGCTGGAACTGGTGCCAGGGCTCCCAGGCCTTGGCGGAGCAGGACAGTCCATCTGCACCATGCCACAGACACACTGAGGGTGTGGCTGCACCTCTCCAGAGCACAGAGCAGTTGTGGCAGAGGACACAAGCTCTTTCCTCAACCCCCAAATCCCTCCCTCCTAGGGCTTCTGCTCTTCTCCCTTACTGATACACACAAGCACATGTGTGTGGAATTGCACCGTACCTCACATACACACACTTGCACTTGAACCCCCCCCATACTGCACACACTGAAGCATCTCACACACATGCACAGGCACACACAAGCCCAGTCTCCCCCTTGATCTCTCTCTCTCACGTATGTGAACCCCCGCCCCGTATTGCACATGCTCCGTCACACACACACAAGCCCAGTCTTCCCCCGTACTGACCACACTCCCACTTGTCACACACACATACACACACACACACACACAAGTTTCCCCC